ATCATCATTATTTTATCACAGATGCCTATCCTCCCGCATAAATGATCTTACTAGAGCAGTGGTAAGATCTCGGCTCACTGCAGCCTCTGCCTCCCAGTTTGAAGTGATTCTCCCACCTCAGCCTCCCAGGTATCTGGGACTGCAGGTACACACCACCATACCTGGATAATTTTTGTATTTTTAGTAGAGACAGGGTTTCACCATGTTGGCCAGGCTGGTCTTGGAACTCCTGACCTTAAGTGATCCGCCCACCTCAGCCTCCCAACATGCTGGGATTACAGGAGTGAGCCATCAGATTCTGAGCTTTTATTTTTTATTTTTGAGACAAAGTCTCACTCTGTCGCCCAGGCCTGAGTGCAGTGGTGTGATCTTGGCTCACTGAAACCTCCACCTCTCAGGTTCCTGCTATCCTCCTGCCTCCGTCTCCTGAGTAGCTGGGATTACAGGCACGTGCCACCACACCTGGCTAATTTTTGTATTTTTAGTACAGATAGGGTTTCACCGTGTTGGCCAGGCTGGTCTCGAACTCCTGACCTCAGATGATCCACCCACCTTGGCTTCCCAAAGCACTGGGATTACAGGTATGAGCTACTGCACCCAGCATCTGAGTTTTGTTTTTTAACTATTATTATTATTATCTTGACTATATCCTGCTCTCTTGCTACGAATAGCAGTTTTATGAGTCACAAGTTCATGTTAACAAGTTTCCACCCTAGGAACCCCTGTCATCCACATAGCCTAAACCATAGCACTTGACAATTTCCAAGGTGTTTCCACATATGCCTTCCACAACAGCTCACTGAGGAAAAGGGAGAGTTGAGGAGGTGGCAGAGCTAGACCCAGGACTCAGCTCCTGGGACGCTAAGTGCTGGCCCCACTGTGTCCTCACAGTCCCCACGCAGCAGTCAGCACAGCCGACGCTGAGAGTCTGAATCTTCACCAGGCCAACGTGGCCACGCCGACAGGTTCACAAAGCCCTCCCCCGACCAAGCCCCTCAAAGCTCACAGCACTTTCTTACTCTGAACCTTGACCATTATTTTTTGATCACAGATGGCTGTCCTCCCACATAAATGATCTCCCTATGAGGTTCTGAGATTCCACCAGCCTGTAGACTGCGCTATTTGGCTTACACTGTATATTTATTTATTTATTTATTTATTTATTTATTTTAGAGTCTCACTCTGTCTCCCAGGCTGGAGTGCAATGGCACGATCTTGGCTCACTACAACCTCTACCTCCTGGGTTCAAGTGATTCTCCTGCCTCAGCCTCCCAAGTAGCTGGGACTGCAGGCATGTGCCACCATGCCTGGCTAATTTTGGTATTTTTAGTAGAGATGGGGTTTCACCATGTTGGCCAGGCTGGTCTCGAATTCCTGACCTTGTGATCCACCTGCCTTGGCCTCCCAAATTGCTGGGATTATAGGCGTGAGCCACTGTGCCTGGCCCTTAGACGGCGTTTTTCAAAAAATCTAATTAGATAAAAATAGTTAAAACTCGTCAGAGATTCCATTCAAATCGGGATTTTTAGAAGTCAGGAATATGGTGCCTAGGTCCCTGCCTGGCTCAGCTATGCCCTGTAGACACAAGGTCTGGGTTTCTCAGGCACCCACAGGAGCTCCTTCACTTGTTCCCGTCATGTCACTGGTATGCATACGTGAACAGATATGGGATCCACACCGTGGTGGCATGTCCACATACAAACATCTGGCCAGGTGCGGTGGCTCATGCCTGTAATCCCAGCACTTTGGGAGGCTGCAGCAGGAGGATCACCTGAGGTCAGGAGCTTGAGACCAGTCTGGCCAACATGGTGAAACCCCATCTCTACTAAAAATACAAAAAAAAAAAAAAAAAAAAAAATTAGCCGGGCACGGTAGCACACGCCTGTGGTCCTAGCTACTGGAGAGGCTGAGGCAGGAGAATCGCTTGAACCCAGGAGGCAGAGGTTGCAGTGAGCCGAGATCACACCACAGCACTCCAGCCTGGGTGACAACAGTGAAACTCCATCTCAAAAAAACCAAAAACAGGCCGGGCGCGGTGGCTCAAGCCTGTAATCCCAGCACTTTGAGAGGCCAAGGCGGGTGGATCACGAGGTCAAGAGATCGAGACCATCCTGGTCAACATGGTGAAACCCCGTCTCTACTAAAAATACTAAAAATTAGCTGGGCATGGTGGCCTGTGCCTGTAATCCCAGCTACTCAGGAGGCTGAGGTAGGAGAATTGCCTGAACCCAGGAGGCGGAGGTTGCGGTGAGCCGAGATCGCGCCATTGCACTCCAGCCTGGGTAACAAGAGGGAAACTCCATCTCAAAAAACAAACAAACAAACAAAAAAAAACACAAAAAACAAAATCTGTGTATGAGTTTACACATACATTGCCCTGGGCGTGCGTCAGCGTGTGTGATAGTTATTCAACAGATATTTCTTGGGTGCCTACTACACCATGCCAGGCTCTGTGCTAGACTCTGGAAATGCAACAGTGGGTCAGGCAGGCCCAGGACCAGTGCCTCCCATCTCTGGGGAGACAGTCATGAAGCAAAAACTCACACAAGTGGATAACGACAACCAGAAATACAGCCAGCAGGGAAATGGGAGGGCCGCCAGCTGGGTCACAGGTACAAGGGACATTTTCCCAAGCTGAGCTCTGTGGGAAGAGAGAGAGGAACAGCTCTGCAGGCAGGGGGACCAGCCTGTGCAAAGGCCTGGAGGTGGAAAGCAATGGGAAGATGGAAAGGCTGCCAGGGTTGGGAGGGGAAGGGGATTGAGGTTAGCAAGAGGAGTGAGGCTGGACGGTGGGCAGAGTAATCGTGCAGAGTTCTAAAGGCCACGGAGAAAAGTTTGGGCCGCCTCCTCTGGCTGCAGGAATCCAGGGAGTGTAGTGGTTCACGCCTGTAATCCCAGCACTTTAGGAGACCAAGGTGGGCAAATCACTTGTGGTCAGGAGTTCGAGATCAACCTGGCCAACATGGCGAAACCCCATCTCTACTAAAAGTACAAAAATTAGCCAGGCATGGTGGCGGGGGCCTGTAATCCCAGCTACTCAGGAGGCTGAGGCAGGAGAATCGCTTGAACCTGGGAATTGGAGGTTGCAGTGAGCCAAGATCGTGCCATTGCACTCCAGTCTGGGTGACAAGAGCAAGACTCCAACTCAAAAAACAAACAAACAAATGAACAACAACAACAACAAAAAAAAAAAAAAAAAAAAAAAAAAGAAAAGAAAAGAAAAGAAAAGTAAAAAAAAGAAATGGTTATTCTTGTGTCGCTGTCTACACAAGGAGCCTGGCCCATGCCTGTCTGTGTGTTTCCTAACCAGACACCCAGAGCCCCAGCTGGTGCAGGAATTGCAGGGGCTGGAGTTGGGTGGGTGGGGGTAATTGCACATTTATGCTGAGCACATTTGTTTTATTTAACTAATTAGCATCATCATATTCCCCTCATGTGGGACCAAGTAGCCTTGAATTCTAATCCTCTAAGTCAATTAGATTATTCTCTCCTTTGCTGGAGCCGCTCCTTAAACCCCAAGCAAAATTATAGGAGAGAGGGCTGAGATGAACGGGGTGTTAATATGCACACAGATTTCTACCTACCAGGGCTTATGGATGGGTGTTTGGGCCAGAAACGGGCATTCAATATGGATGTGCTTTTGGCAGAGGGTTGGGGGTGGACCCACAGCCACCCTCAGCTGGATGGAAATGGTTTGAATTTTCAGACCCCAACTGTGGCCTGGGCCAGAAGGCACTAACGATCCTTTGAAGGTCCTTGCTGTCTCTTTTGGCACCTCCCACCTGAAGGAGCTGCAGCAGCTTCCTCCCTAGCCTCTCTGCCTTCATGCTGCCACCTCTGATGCCCAACATGGCACCCCAATGACTCCCTGTGCCCACTCTCCACATGGTGACCTCGGTTTGGGAGTGCGGCTCCTCCGTACATTCCTGTCGAATTGGCCTTGAGGTCCTGAGCTCCCCTACAAATCCTTGAAAAGTAGTGGAAGAATCAAGCAAAAAACAGTGAATTTAGAGAGGTTTCCCACTATGCACGTGTGAGAGCACACACACACACGCACGCACATAGGCACACACGCACGTACACACGCACGCACGCACATTCATACCCCACAGCACCTGCATCTTCTGAGTGTGTTGCTGGTAGATGACTAGCCTCCTGCAGGCTGACCTCATGCCCCGTGCACAAATCTTGCCTCGTTGCATGGTCACATTCGTATCCGGGCGGGTCGCCCCCACTGTGTGTTCTCTCTCCCCCACCCACCTCCCTTTCTCCCTCCTGTCTGCCTCTCCCAGGACAGGTTTTGGGTGTCCCCTACTTCACAAAAGCCATCACTTCCTGAACTCTCCAGGGCCCCAGCTGCACTGGGCTGCAGCACAGCTTGGTGACAAAGAGCCAGAGTCCTGCAGCCAGGTAGCTCAGCAACACCAGTCACCCCTGCGTGACCGACAGCAAGCGCCTGACCCCCTGAGCCTCAGCTGCCCTACCTGCAAAATGGGTGAATGTCTGGCCCTTCTTATAGAGCATGGCTACTAAACTAACAAATAAGTCAATAAATAAGAAGGCCTGGCCAGTCCTAAAATCCTCTGGCTAGAGTGCCCCCACCGCGTCCCCAGGGCCAGATCACTGAGTGACCCTGAGATGCTGTAACACTCAGTCATCACAGGCCAAAAAAAGCTGGCTCAGTCTCATTGGAGCTTGTTGGTTCCCCAAATAAAAAATGCTGCTGAGACAAGCACGGAGCACTGGGACGCGCACAGCCTTGGCCCCAACAGGAGGGAATGCATCTTCTCGCCCCTGTCATTTTTTGTCCCCGTCATTCAATGAACTTGAAAAATCTCCAGCTTTCAAAAAACAGAGCGGGGCCATTTTTTTCCCCTTCTCTTTTTCTTCTCTTCCATCTTCTCGCCCAAGCTCCCTGCTGAACTGGACCCCAATTTTTTTTTAAGTCACAGCTGCGCCCTCCATTAGAGCCCTTTCGAGAAGTCATTATCAAAACTCACACTTATTTTGGTCGCCTCCTTCCCTGCGTCTTCCTGCTGAGATGCTTTTAGCTGTTGGGAGCGGGGAGGGGTGGAGAGAGCAGAGACAACGTGTTAGCACGGGGTGGGGGTGGAGTGGCAGTGGGGGGAGACACTTTAAAGGGATACAGACAACAGCTGAGACACTCACTGCAGCAGATGAGGCTCAGGGGCGACGGGGTCTGGAGCTGGGGTCCCTCAGCTCTCTGTATCCACTCAGGGGATGGAGGAGAGGTCAGAGGCAAAGAAGATAATGGAGGTGCATAGAAAACTGACCACATTTGTGCATTTAGACACACACAAGGGTACTTTGGTATACATCGGGTGGGTGTGAATAGGCAGAAATCTAAGCGTCGGCTTGTTATGTTGCTAGGAGTGTGTTCGTAGCCTTCGGTCACTCTATCTGGAAGTGTGTTTGTACCTTCAAGCGTGTCACCCACGTGAACGTGTGTGCAGATGCTGTGTGAACCCAGCCCACATTCCCCACCTTTGCAAGCTGACCCCAAGGGCTTCCAACCGCAGATAACTGCAACTCTTTGCCTAAGGGCTTTCTCTGGCCACTTTCTCTAAGCCTGCATGTGGTAGGGCTGGAAGTCTTGGGGAGCTGACACTCCCAGGAGCAAGACAGAGTTTGATATGTACTTGGGTACATGCGAGACACTCTTTCATGAACACGGGGAGTGTATGAGCATGCCAGTGCGTGTCTGTGAATGTGTGCAAATACATGAGTGAGTATATGAATGGGTGGGCAGAACCCTCTGTGTTCACGTGTTCATTAGTGTAGAGCTATGTGTGAGGATGCAAGTGATTCAGATGGAGTTCCTCCAAGAGCCGACCTTGAGGCTGAGATAAGTAGTTTATTTGGGAGGTGATCCCAGGAAGCACAAGAAGGGGAGAAGCCGAGTGAAACCAACAAGGAAGAAGGTTAATAACGGAGTATGCTGTCAGCTGTTACCACTGCAGGCAGCTGGAGCGCATCCCACTGGGCACTTGGGAGACAGTGAAAAACATGCTTCAGTCATCCCAGCTGAGGGCGAGGGAGCTGGGCATTCATCCTCCAACTCTGCAGGCATTGATGGGGGCTGCTCCTGCCTACGAAGCCCCCTGCTCCTCTTGTTTGCCTCGATGGCCAGCAGGCTCTGGTGTCCAGAGAAAAGCCTCAGGCAGAGCTGGAGAAGCCGGCAGTTTGCAGTGGGCTGGTGCCGGGACATGCTGCACACCGGGCATGGGGCAGAGCACCCACAGCATCTGCCCTACAGGTGTGTACATGCAAGCACGCGTGGGTAGAGGGGCGAGCTCATGTGCAGCCATGGGTATGCTGGGAGCCTGGTGCACGCATGCGTGCGTGCCTGTGAATGAACTCAGTATTTGCAGGGCTCTTTACAAAAAGGCTGCCCGTGTGGCCTAGAGAAGTGGTGGAAAGTGAGTCACAAGACTCATCTTGCTCCATAACCTGGAGCCAGCTTGCCCCTCTGGCCTCAGTTTCCCCCCATACCCTGAAGGGAGGGACTCCGTGCTCTGGAAGGCCCTTCTTGCTGTGGCCATTTCAAGTGCTCAGCCTAGCTCAGCCTTCTGCCTGTTCCCCCAAATAAGCCTCCATGATCACCTAAAACCCCCACCCCAGGAGGGAGAAGGAAGGGAGACAGCTGTGTGGTGTGGAGAACAGTACTGGAGCCCGTCTCCCTCAGAGGAGAAGAGGGACAGGGGGATACCCCTACTCCAGAAACCAGGATTTCCCCAGCCTAGCCGGGGCATCCCCCCAAGGGCATTACCTGGTTGGAGGCCCACGCCTGCTTGTCTGTCCAGTCCCGGTGGCTCCGTACGTACCACCACTGGATCTCCAGCGAGTAGGAGGGGGAGCCACTGCCGCGGAAGGAGCAGGCCATCTCCACGTCCTCGCCCGTCCGTGCCGTCATGTCATGGGGTGTCTCTGTGAACAAGGCTGTGCAAGACACAGGGGAGAGTGGTGGGGCTCAGGAAAGCGCAGGGCCAAGGGCCGCTGGGTGACGGAGGTGGAGAAGGTAGGAGGCGCTGGCGCTGCACAGCGGGGTGGGTGGAGGGGGTGGGGGAGGCCCACAAGCCCGCTGGTGGGAGTGGCCTGGCCCTGGGTGGGCACTCAAGAGCTCAGTGAGGCCGGCCAGGGGTGTGTGCGGCAGCCGATGGGACATGCGGATGAGGGAGTAGGTGCTGCCCCAGAGGCCGCGCCAGCAGCCGGCGCTGTGGGAGAGTGTGCCGGGATGGGAGAAGGGCTGGGCTGGATGCTGACTGCAAGAAGGCCAGGGAGGAACTGCCGCTTCCATCAGCATTTCCAGGTTCTTCCAGTCACCCTGCTCGGTTCCCCCGAGTTACTCCAGCGACCATGTACAGTGGCCAGTGCCATCTTTGCAAAACCAAATCAGAGGTGGCCTCTCCCCTGCTTAGAGCCCTCCCCTGGGACCTCAGGTGGTGGGGGGGTCAGCACCCGTTCCCCTGCCTTGTGATCTGTCCACCTTGGCCTCCCAAAGTGCTAGGATTACAGGCATGAGCCACAGCCTCTGGTCTATTATCCCCATTTTCAGATGGGGAGGCTAAAGCTCAGAGAGGTTCAGTGACTTGCCCAAGGCCACAGGCTGAGTATATGGTTAAACTGAACCCAGGTCTAGAGTGCTCTAAGTGGAAGCCTGTAGCCCCGCCCCCTATCCATACTCTTTCCTTCCAGCTACCCAGAGCCTGATTCCCTTGTGAGCATCACTGCTGAGTCTGGGACAGTGAATCCATCTCTCCTCTTTGACCTGCCCTGCCCCTGAGCCCTGCTCCCTCCTCAGGAAACTCCTCACAGCCAGTCCCCAGGGAGGCGGGTATAGTGATAGATTTGTGAAAAGGATGCAACTGTCTTCTCCAGCCTCAGGGCCTGAGCTGGGCTGGGCTTGCTGGGAAGACAATTAAAACTGGTGTCCACAAATTAGGATTCTGTGGGGAAGGAGAACGGGACTTGATTGAATGCAACATCTTCTTTCTTTCTGCTTTTAATTGGGGGAGCAATGTATTAATTAACCCCAGGCCTGGTTATCGTCGCATCAGCTGCAGGAAATGGCTCTGTGGCTCTGGCCAGAATCACTGGGTTTGGCTTCTGGGAAAGGCAGGAGGTGACCTGGAGGACCTAGCCAGCCCTTTGCGACCAGGGCCCTGGCCTCCTTAACCTCCCAGGCCCTGGTTCAGCATGAACCGCTTAGAGCTTTGCCTTCAGGCCTGGGTTCAAGTTCAATTTCCCCTACGCCCTAGTTGTGTGACCTGGACAAACCACTTTGCTTCTCAGAGCCTCAGTTCTTTTATCTGAAAAAAGGGGAGAATGAGAGAGCCGATGAGAGGATTACACAAGACATGTGCCTCATGGCTGGTACATAGCAGGTGCTCAATAAACAGCACTCCTTTCTCACCTCCTCGCTCAAACATCCCATTATCGCCAGAAAGATGGCTAAAGATGCGTCCTTGTTGCTGCTTCAGATTATGCATTGGGTGCATCTGTATTGGACTCACGTGTGCGCCCTGCAATGCCTCACCCATCAGTCCTCCAGCTCTTCTCTGTGCTCATTTGCTCTGGTGCTCCAGGAGCCAGTGGGACTCACGAAAGTCGAAGGGGCTTGTCCAGCACAGGCAGCCCCCAGCTCCCTCCATCTCTGAGCCCAGATTCCCCATCCCAGACCCTCTGGTCCAGCCCCGAGTCTCCTGTCTCCCTCTCCATGCCCTTTTAACCTTTAAATCTCTGGTAGGAGGTTGCCTCTTCCAGGAAGCCTGCAAAGCTTGGTCCTTAGCACACCCATCAGCCTCTGCCAAAGTGACAGCAGGACTCCCCTTGGGAACTGGTGGCAGGGGCAGCTCCATTCATGAAAACCAAGGCAGAGCTGGGGCTAGAGAGAGGCACAGTGAAGCAACGTGGCCCCACTGGTCAGCCCAGCCCCATCTCTCACTAGGTCACACAATGACTCCCTATACAAAAACTTCCGGGGGTGAATGGAGGAGCAGAGTCGAGTCCGCCCGTGTAATGGAGTAGTATTCAGCCTTCAAAAGGAAGGACATTCTGGCACATGCCACAACATAGATGAACCTTGAGGACATTGCACTGAGTGAAACAGGTCAGTCACAGAAAGACAAACATGGTGTGATTCAAACTCACAGAGACAGAAAGCAGAATGGGGGTTGTCAGGGGCTTGGGGGCCGGCGGGGGGAGTTGCTACTGAACAGGCACAAGAGTTTCTGTTTCGGATGATGGACAGTTTCTGGACTGGATGGTAGCGATGGCTGCACAGCAGTCTGAACGTTCTTGATGCTGCTCAACCATATACATACAAGTGGGGAACATGGGAAACTGTATGTTATGTACATTTCACCATAATTTTCGTAAAGCCTCTGCTGGCTTCCCTGGGCTCACTGCAGCAGTAGATTTACAACAAAAATTCCCTAGAGTGTGTGGATTGCTGGGGCCCAGGAGTTTGAGGCTGCAGTGAGCTATGATCATGCCACTGCACTCCAGCCTGGGCAACAGAGCAAGACCTCATCTAAAAAAGAAAGAAAGAAAGAAAACAAAAATCCCCTGGACTTGTTCCCAGAATGTCCCTCCCCACATCCTCAACTCCTTCAAGCCTCAGCTCCAATGTCACCTCCTCACTGAGGCCCTCCCTACTTCCCCTCTCTCTCCCGGTCTCCCTTTTCCCAACTTCATCTTTCTCCTTACCACCCATCACTCTGCTATTATATGTTGCTTATTTTTTATTTTATTTACTTTTTTTTTATTATTTTTATTTTTGAGACAGTCTCACTCTGTCGCCAGGGCTGGAGTACAGTGGTGCAACCTTGGCTCACTGCAACCTCCACCTCCTGGGTTCAAGGGATTCTCCTGCCTTGGCCTCCCAAGTAGCTGGGAGGTGTGCGCCACCATGCCCTGCTAATTTTTTTTGTATTTTTAGTAGAGATGGGATTTCACCATGTTGGCCAGGCTGGTCTCTAACTCCTGACCTCATGATTCACTTGCCTTGGCCTCCCAAAGTGCTGGGATTACAGGTGTGAGCCACCGCGCCCGGCCTATTTTACGTTTATGTATCATCTGTAGTCCAACTGGAGTTAAAGATGGAGCTTCTAGATAAAGGCAGCAGAGTCTAGTCTGTTCACTGCTGTGTCCCGGCAGCCAGAGCAAGGCCATGCACATAGTAGTTGTCAGGGAACACTCTGCTGTAGTAGCTCCGGTGGCAGGCAGGGAAAGGATCCTATTTTCCCTGCTCGGGGCTGTATGGGGCCTTTAGGAAGCTCCCGTACTTTGGCCTTATTGGGAAACTACCGGCCCTCAGGGTCAAGATCAAGCTCCCAGGGTCGGCATCCAAAGTCTGCAGGCTCTGGCTCTGCCTGGACCCCAACTGCAGCCCCTCCTAGACACTTACATGTGTCACCCTAAGGACACAGCCTGCACGCTGTCCCTGGAATCCTGACTCACAGGTAGTCCTCTGTCTGGAGGTGTCCTCCCTCCTCAGGAAGCCCTGCTCGGTGCCCCCAGTGGCCTCTGAGGCTGCCTCTCCCTGCCCTGGAGTGTGTTACATGACAGATGCTGAGGTGTCTGGGTCTGCTACAAGCTGGGAGCTCCCCAGTACAGGGGCCCTGCATTGCCCAGCACAGATCAGGCACAAGAGAGGTGGCTACACACGAGCTAAACACGAGTGAATGAATCAATGAATCAATGAATGAATCAAGTGAGAAAGGAAGCTCAGACAAAAGCCCAGGGGACTGAAGTTCTAAGGAAAAAAACCAAGAGGCATAGAGATCATTCATTCATTCATTTGTCCAGTTCATTCATTCACTCAACATTTATTGGGTGCCTACTCATGCATCATTATTCGTTTGTGCCAGATTGGAGTTTTTGGGGGGACTGTACCCATAGGAGCAGGGATAGGGACAGACATGTGGGTAATATGGACATGTGCAACCGGAGAAGTCCTGAGTGAGGCTCAGGAGGCCGGCCCTCTTCCTACTGCCCCTCCTCCTGGCCCTTGTGACCACCGGCTTCCCAAGGCCAGCCTGGCCCACCTGGCCCAGCTGAGGGGCCACACAGCCAGAATGACAGGCAGGCTGGAGGCTCCCCTGAGATGGCCCATAAAGTCATCTTGTGAAATGCAACCAAGAATGAAACAGGGCAATAAATAAAGGCTAACAGTGCCAGGAGAGGGTGGCTGCTTCGCCAGTGGCTCCCCCACCCTTGCTGGCTACGGGCCAGCCCAGCAACCCTGCGGCATCATCTTTCCGACTGGAGCCCACGATGCGACAGGAGGGTGATGTGCCTGATCCTATATGATGCTCACAGCCATCCTGCTGGCCAGGGATCATTGTCCCTTTATGACAGGTGGGGAAACTGAGGCTTGGAGACGTGTGTCACAAGATCACACTACAAGTCAGGACCAGGAGCTGGGATTAGAACCCAGATTTGGGACTCTAGAATTCAAACGCTACCCTGTGTCTGCTGGCACCATTGTTGCAGTGATGAAGACCGAGAAAGGGGCATCCACAGCCACTGCCCACTTCCATACCTGGACTTTTCCAGCAGCATGAGAAAATCAAAGCTCAGAGAACCTGGAGGCCACTGGAGCCAGTCCCCTGCCCCAGAGTTGAAGGAAGGAAGCCCCTCCTCTATGCCAGACATTGTACACAGGACCCCTTTCATCCTTTCAGACTTAATGAGATGTTACTATTATCAGCCCATTTCACAGAGGGAGTGACAAGGCTCAGAGAGGGAGAGTTGGTGCCTGAGATAACACAGCATCAAGGGACAAAGTGAGATTTCAGCCTGACTTCAAGCTGACAGCAAAATTTCCCCACCAAAGCCTGAATCTTATCTAAGCCCCATCCTTTTCAGCTAGAAAAAGTGTGATTCTCTGGGGCCATTTCCAGGAAGCCTGCTCTATGCCCAGCTCAGCTGGGTGG